AGAGCAGACGAGGGGAAAGCAGGAAATGAATCAGAGGGGATCAGGGCCAGGATTGGCACACTAGTCTTGAGGAATGAGGAGAGGGTCACTAAACAGGTAAGGAGGGATGTCATTCCAGACAGAAGGAACAGCAGAAGGCACAAGGACAGCATGTTCAGGAAACTTCAATTAATTCTCCACAATTGGAATGTAGTAGAGATTCTTATCACCACTGTACGGACAAGAAAACTGAAGTTGCAAGAGGTTAAGTGTGGTGGTCATTTGTCATGTTGGGAGTTACCTGGGCCACAACAGCTTCATGTTTGGGGGAATCATCTACTGTAAACATCTTGGTGGGAGGGAGGGTACTGTCAATCAATATGGAAACCAAAGGGGCTGACCCCACCTCTGTCAGAGCTGAATGATCCCAACAGGACATTTTTGCCCAGAACTTGGAATATTGAGTAATACAAAGATTGAGGGTTGAAAAATTATCCATAGCATCAGTGATGCCATTGGGAGTCCAGCACCACTGGAACTGAGTGTCCAGGGGCAGCCTCTCAACCCTCCTTGTCTTGATCTTGGCCCTCTTACCTGCTGTGTGATCTTTCTGGACTCTTGCTAATATTCCAAATCTGATCCTCCAGGCTCCCAGTAAATTCTGTGAACTATCTAATACTTTGACAACAAATGCCTTTCCTGATTAAGTTAGAGTCCATTTCTGTTGTTTGTGGTCAGTCAGTACTACAATAAGTAAGAATTTGTGCTCTTTGTCACTATTTATACCATTTATTTTGAGAACAAAATCCAGATGAAGACTCTAGATACATAAGTGTGATGTAGATCTTTCTGAACTTGCTCATTACAAAAGGGACATCACTTAATAAGTGAAAAATTTAAATTATCAGCTAACATTTTATTAAGTACTGTAGTTTCCTACAGCTCCTGTGAAACTGGCTTAAGGCAACATGTATGTATCATCTTACAGTTGCAGAGGTCAGAAATCCGCAGCATCTCTGAGTTCACATCAAGGTGTCAGCAGGGCTGTGTTTCTTTCTGGAGGCTCTAGGTGAGAATCCATTGTCTTGTCTTTTCCAGCAACTAGAGGCTGCCTGCATTCTTTGCCTAGTGCCCCCTTTTCATGCGCAAAGCTAGCAATGGCAGGTTAAGTCTTTCTCATTACCTCATCACTCTGAAACTGACTCTTCTCCCTCTCTCTTCCACATTTAAAGGATCCTTGTGATTATATTGGGCCTACCCAGGTGATCAGGTTAATCTTAAAGTCAGCAGATCAGCAAACTTAATTCCACGTGCAACCTTAATGCCTCCTTGCCAGGTAGCATGACAGACTCTCAGGTTCCGGGGATTAGGATGTAGGAATCTTTGGGAGGCTATTAGTCTATCTACCACAAGCACTTATGATTTGCCACATTTTAATGTACTTCACTTAATCCTCACCACAACCCCTTGAGGTCGGCACTCTTATTGTTCCTGTTTTACAGACAGGGCAACTGAGACTCAGAGAGAATAGTTGGCCCAAGGTCACACAGTGAATGGCAGACCAGGCACTCAATGCTAGGACTGTCCAGCTCTGCTAGTCAGTTCTCCATACTCATTCTATTCATTCCAAACTTAAGGCCTTTATATATGTTGTTCCCTCTGCTCAATCCTCACTTCCCCCCTTCTTCATCTGGCTGCCTTCTTATCTGTCAGACTCCTAAGTATACGTCACTTCATCGGGGATCCTCTCTGATTCCACGGATGAGGCCAGGCTCCTCTATTGCACGTATTGTGATTTTGTTTGATCATTTGTGTGCATTTCTGCCCTTTCTCAGAGTAAAATGCCCTGTCTTTATCAGGGCCCTCCACGCCAGCCTCTGCCCTCCTCCAGCTTCATCTCTCCCTCCACTTTCTCCCCGACTCTGGCCATTCTCACCTTCTTTCAGCTCGTTGAAGTCACCAAGATTTTTCCCACCTCAGGATCTTTGCACACATCTTTCCTTAATCTCACCGTGATTTGTAACAAAACAACACAAGTGACAGCTATTTGGGTCAACTGCTTTCCATTTTGGCCTAATTACCATACGGTTAAAAAAATAGTCAAAACACATGTCAGATTAGCCTGTGTGAGCTTTATTTGATTACAACAGTAACCTCCATTCTGTATGCTAACCTTCATGGCTGGTTACACATGTAAAATGGTTGTCTGCTCACAACTTAAAGACCTCAGAGGGAATGCTGGGTGTTCAGAGACTTGGGAAATTATCCAATGTGTTGACTTCTTGCAATAAGGAATGGTTAAAGCTGTGATGGCTATTTTAGAAGGGCTGTCTCTACACCTACTTTCTTTGCTTCCAAAATTTTAGCCATGAGAGAGTGGGAGGAAGGGGAAAGGAATGGGAAGAAAAAACAGCGGGATTTATATAAACATGATAAATCTGTTATATTACCTACATTACACACTGGACGCATTAAAAAACAACAACAACAACAAAACTCTCAGTTCAGAACAATTGCTGCAAATCACACATCCCTGATTATATGGCAGTATTCCTGGTGGGAAAGCCAGAAGTAGTGAAGGATGGATTTTAGCATGTCCTATGTGCTTATTTATGGTGCAGCACATCATCAAACAACACTTCACAGGCTCTAAGCTGGCAAACTGGAGGGCTTTGAAGAGAAATAATGAGCTGAGAGGTTCATGACATGCCATTAAAAAGTTTGTGATTGGATTTGGAAAGTCAGATGAGTCTCCAAGGGAAAGGGACCAGTTCTGAGCTGTTGCACTTAGAATATTTTTGAGCCCCAGAGCAGATATTTATGAGAAGGGAGAGTTGTTTTTGTCTCAAATCCAGGTTCTGACTCTGATGTGTAGTGAGGAAGCTGCTTTGCACTGCAGACCTGAAGTCCCGGAATATCCATGATGTCACCTTTTTCTACTGATCTGCCTGCCACTGCACAGAGGCACGCTATTAGCTCTGTGATGTTTTAGCTTAATTCTGCCACATGCGGGTTGCAGTTCTAGCCAAAACAAAGTCGGCAGGAGATTTTATGGCCACTGAATTGCTCAAGGTGCTACAGGCTCGGTGAAATCAGGAAATTAGGTTGGGATGCATGAACAAAAAGATAAACAGAAAGAAAAAGCATCAGGATGGTGGGATTTGAGGTTGCCTGGTATGTGATTTCCAAATCAGGAATCAAGGCTCTGGATTTCCAATGGGTGATTTGATGGTCTGGGTTTTCACCTTTGAGATTTTAATGTTTTTCTGGCCTATATGATAGAAGAAAGCACCCTGTTCCAGGTGGTGAACCAGGAGTCCCTCTCACTAAATTAGAAAGGAGACATTTTAGGATATGAGATCATGAAATAGAATAGTATTTGAAAAGAAAAAAAAAGGAAAAGAAAAAAGAAAATCACATATACGCAATAACACACAACTAGCCCAGCACAGGGTGAATTTGTGGTTAAGCCATTTTTTTCCCATTGCAGATGACACTTTAACTCTTTGAATCTCAGAGTCCTCCTGCACACACGCAGCATGAAAAAACGTTTCTGCAGCTGCTACCGTAAAGCCAAGCTGCACCTCAGGTTGAATTAGGAAGGTCCGGGGCTCTTGGTTAGTGTTCTGATTCTGAGCCTGCAGCTCTTTGCCTGAGATCGTTCTGCGTAGCTCTCTTCTCCCGCCAGCGCCTTAATAACATAAGCCCACGACCCTTGCTCTCAGATCTTTTGAAGGAACAATGGTGTCGGGCAATCACACCATAAAAGACTATTTGTGATCATTAGGGAAAAAAGGGAGGGGGATAAAATGTTATGCTAATCAAAAGCAACAACTGTTATTTCTACTTCAGTGCTCTTCACAAAAGTCACATGGATGATGGTGCATCTTCGAGCTTGTGCCAAACTCTGAAATTTTAAAGTATTTGTTTCATATGGGCAAAGCTTTTCCTTTTTTCCCCTTTTTTTCTTCTCTCCCTTTACCCTGTGGGAAAATGAACTTATTTTCAGTCACCCCTGACATCTGACCACTCAAGTGATCACGAGGACACTGTGGCAAACCACAACTCAACTTGAAATTATCTCTTTCAGGCTCAGTTCCTGTACTTTGGATGGCACCATCCTTGCTACCCAACATTGGCTTTTTTTCTATGGAGGTTCCATTTTTACTTTCCTCCATTTACTCAAAGTAAGTGGTCTTGCTGTAAAGTCTCTCAATTGGGCTTGTTCTCAAAATAAACTGAATGCAAAAATGACACCAGTTTTCCAGCCAAAACCCCAAAAGTGGCCCATTTACACAGTGTGTCCTTCTTTTAAAAAGAAAGAAAGAAAGAAAGAAAGAAAGAAAGAAAGAAAGAAAGAAAGAAAGAAAGAAAGAAAGAAAGAAAGAAAAAGAGCAGGAAAACCTTAAATATCCTGCAAAGGGGAAAGGAAAAGCCAAGGCTCTTGATTAATATCGAGGTGATACAGCAGGGTTTATACATATTCCTTCTGTTTGAATCATCTTGTTTTATGTAGCTGTTTTACACCTCCAGGATCCTGCCATCTGCCCACTCTAAAGAAACACAGCAAAGCAGTCCAAAAACAATGGCTGGAAGGAAATCATTGTGATCTAACCCAAGAGATCAACTTGTCTGCACCCTTTCGGTTACTGCTACCCTTCCTGGAGAGAATACAGTGTGGTGTGGCCCAGAGGTTCATATTATGGGGGGGGGTGGCATTGCCTCCCAATAAGCCCCCCTGGTGCCTGTCACGCCACCGGCTGACAAGACAGAACATGGTGTACGGATCTGGCTGCCCTCCTGGCTGAGGAACAAGGAGGAGGAGGGAGTGGGCAGCGCCCTGGGCAGTTATGTCCTACTCGTATCTGGTATGTGTCACTGGAATATAGGTCAGCATTTGCTGTACAACTTGGGGCAGGCTGGAAGCGTGTGGACCCCGGAGTGGGCCCAGGAACCCCCACCCCCACTCTCTTCCTGCCTAAAACAAGTTAGCAAGCCCAAAGAGCATTGAGAGAGGCCATCAGGACAGACAAAACCAGCCTTTCCATTTTGCACGCAAATGCTGGGGAAATCTAAAGCTTAGCAAAGGCGTTATCAGTCCTGGGGTTGGGCCAAGATGCAGGCTGAAGTTCAGCTGGCCAGGCCAAACGCAGCTGCTGGCTATTCAGGCTTCCCACAGGGACTTTTCCTCAACCCCTGATTTAGATAGTGAAATGGATGGGTAATGTGCACATAGCTGCCGAGGGTGATAGGAGAAACAAAATGACTTTCAATTACTGAGCAGTTCAGGTGGAGGCAGAGAACACAGAAAAGGTTTTCTTTCCAACAGCAAAGTGAAGTGTCCGTTAAAGAGCTGCTGGTCTTGCAGAGAGATTATTACTTTAAAGGAATATCGGCAAATGCTTTAGGCTGAACATTTGGGCTTGGTTACTTCCGTTTTTCCCCGCAGTTCATAGAGGGATAAAGATATTACATGAATTGGACTTTTCTTGTGAATTAAAACATCGATGCCCTGATTTTTGGTAACAAATGTTGCCAAGTTTGTGCTGAGCAGGCAGAAAGGAGGAATAGGACTAGGCTTTGCCTTTGGGGAAATGCAAAAAAGGTTCACAAAAAAATGTCCCATTGATTGTCCAAGGTCACTGGACTATGCATGCTCAAAATGGAACTCAAGACTCCCAAACTGCAGTGTCTGACTCATTGTCCTTTGACTAAACCAATGAAAATAAAATGGGTTAGCACAGGGTATTGTTCCAGGACAAAAAGTTCAGAAAACCAGCGGAGCTTCAAGGAAAATGGGATTTTCTTTAATTAGGCTGACATTGAATGCCTCAGTAATAATCTTGTAAATGTGAATTTATCATCTGCAAAGTAGGCATATTTGTGATTTCCTAGCATGCAAGTTAAATTAAAATTTAGTGAGTATCCCTTATGTTCCTGGCACTGTGCAAGGCATTTTCCCACGCATTATATGATTTAATCCTCACAAGAACCTAGAGTCAGATATTATTATCACTGTTTTATTGATGAGACTTACACTGATCAGTGTTCCGCTTGAAGTGTAACTGTGGAGCTGGTATCCGAACCCAGGTTTCCTCACTCCCTTGTGGTTTTTACAGCCCTTTAGCTGCTTCTTTTAAATAGCATCTTGTCCTGTGTAATTCATATTGAGGTTGGTTGTTGTAAAGTTTAAGTTCCTAGATGAGACAAACTATGAGAAAAAAACAGATTTTTTTTTTGAATTACCTTCTTAGAATATTTTGCCCAAATATAAAGGTTCTAAAATGTAGTTGAATTGGTCATAAAGTTTTATCTTCCCTTCTACTTAAATAGTGCATAAGCTCATAAATAAATGTTATGAGGAAAACATTATACAACCTGATTAAATTCTATTGTGGTATTTTTAACGCATTGAAATGTCTGAACATAGAATACTTTGGACCTTATAAGAAGAAAATATTGGCTTAAAATTGGAAGATCGAAGATGTTAGCAAATAGGTGATTCAATGCTAAGTGCATATTGTCAAGGGAGGAAGAGGAAAGTAAATGTAGTCAGCATCTTAGTTGGAGGGGTTGTATGCCAACCTTTCTTAAAATAGAGGAAAGGGACATCGGGTAATCTCCTATTTTTTGCCTTTCCAGTTTAAAAAAGGAAAGATATGGGGATAAGAGAAATAAGTTAAAAGTTCCAGGAATACAGAGATGAAAAATAGATTGCACCTTCCATCAAGGGTCTCCTGGTCCAGGAGGCAGGCAGACACATAAAACATGATGATGGAGGAAAACATAGGACTATGGATAAGGCACAAAAACAAAGCACAGAAAGAAGTAATTCAGAGAGAGACAGAGAGAGAAAAGAGGAAAACTTGAGCTGGAATTTAAAGACTTCGACCAAATAGAAAACAGAACAACAAAAAAGTCTGTACAAATGCACAGAGCATGAAATGGGCTGACATTTTGGGGCCTAGAAGGAATCTGATATTGCTGGAGGGGAGAACAGGAAGGACTAAGTGTGGAGCAATGAACTAGTGAAGCAGTTAGGAGGTGGGAGCTTGGATGTCGTGTGGAGAGCCACTGATAGGTTTTTAAAACTGGATTTGAGTTTCCAAAAAATTACTCTTGTGGTGGTGTCAAGAATGAATGGCTGATCATCTGATCAACAAAATGAAAAGCCGGTTGTTTCAAAAAAAGTAAATAGATGAACTCCTGGCATGATTGGTTGTTTTAAGAGGCAGGAATAAACAGTACTAGACATGAAAAGGGACATTGAAACAGAAAAAGTACACATGTAAAAATCATAAGAGAATCACATGAACAACTTTAGGTCAATATATTTAAAACTTTAGATACATTGTACAATTTTTAGAAAGCATAAATTATGGAAATTAAGTTGAGAAGAAATTGACATTAAATAAACCTATAACCAGCAAGGAAAAAAATTAATTCAATAGTCAAAAATATTCCACCAAAGAAGACTAGCTCCAGAAAACTTTCAGACATTTTTTCTAAAAATTCAAGGGAGAAACAATAACCCCTAACAAACAGCCATTCCAGAAAATAGAAAAATATTTTACAAATATTTTATAAAGCTATTGTAACCCTGATGTCAAAACCAGGCAAGTACAAAATGAGAATCAACCTCACATGCAAACAGACATGCCAAAGTACTAAATAAATGCTAGCAAACAATCCAAATAGAGGATATATATATATAAGTATCACAGAAAATAAGTTTTACATGTAAGAATTTAACATTAGAAAATCAATTATATAATTTATCACAGACATATGACAGTAAATAATGAGAAACATTCAGTAAAATTTTATACCTAGTCATGATCTTTTGAAAAAAAATCTTTGCCAACTGGTTTAAATCATAGCTCCGTGATTTATTAGTTATTAAATTTTAATTTGGATAAAGATAATCTAAGCTTTGTATGAAAATGGAGAAGAATAAATTAGAAGAGGAAAGAGAGTAGAGGCTAAAGGAATGATTAGGAGGAGGTCAGTGTGGCAAATCTAGATAGGAGATTTGAGATGTCAAAGGCTGGAGAAAAGCTCTGATGCCAGAGACAGGAGAGGGCGGATTTCAGTAATAATTAAGAGGGAAGATTGATAGAAGCTGGTGATTGATTGGATGTGGGAGGAAGGTTGTAATGAAGAGAAAAGAGTCTATTATGACTCTCAGCTTTCTAGACGAGGTGGCTGGGTGGATGGTAATTTAATTAACCAAAATAGAAAATACAGTTTTAAGATTGGTCTGAAATTAACAAGTATTTCTTGTATGAGAAGGAAATAACTATTTAAGAAAATTTAGTGCCAGTAGCCTAAATTTAAAAAAAAAAAAAAAAAAAAAAAAAAAAAAAAAAAGGACTTTTTGCCATCACCTGATTTCAGTTAATATCAAGACAGCGAGAGAGAGAGAAAAAAAAAAAAAGCATTATGGGCTTTTAAAGCCCAAGCTAGTACTGGGCCAGGCAGAGTCGCCAGTCGATATAGATTTGTTGCACTAGCCCAAAGCTGCCAGTAGTTTATTCAGTATACTGGTAGGTAAGGAGATGAGGGTTTTGGATAGCCAGAATCACAGAAGGTAAGAAAAGAATAATGGTTACCTTGGAAGTATATAGAAAATGTAGAGTTAAGTATCACCTAATAATAGCAATGTTATTGATAAAAGTATTTTGACTTTGAAAACAGCAAAGAAGGAAAGATGTCTCCATTTCCTTACACCTTGCTCTATTATATATTTCATTGTTTCTATAAATAGTTATTACATTTTTGGGTTAATCATTAAGATTTGTTCACAAAAGATTAAACTTTGTAGGAAATAACAAAATATAATATTTTGGTCCTCAATAATTCCTCTGTGCCCAAGGCACTGGACCCACCAGCCAGCAGCTACCAGATTGCCCTTTTCTTCTTCTTGGAGAAAGTTTTCCTTTCTCAACTTGATGATATCCATGTATGTCCCAGCCATTATGATGTAATTTGAATGTGTATCAAAATCTGTAGAAATAAACCAAACCAAATCACCATTTTATTATGTTATTATGTATGTGCAAAGTATTGGGAAAATTATTGGCTAAACATTTCCACCCAGCCTGGGAAAAGAAACGACACTATAGAATGTGGAAGGCCACTTCCAAAGTGGTAATATCCAATTGAAGGCAGCATCAGGCAGCTGCTGAGATGTTTCACTAATAACAAGACAGTTGAAAATGATAACTTCATCTGGCTTTAAGGAAATTCATTCAGGCACAGACTGGGTGCAGAGTGCTGGAAAAGTCTGAGTGGCTCATCTAGAGTTTGGGTAACTATTTCATCACTTCCTGGTGCTTGCCTTTCAATCTTTGGAATACCATATTTCAGATGGCATTACCCAGTGACCAAGCTCAAATCAGAGGGAGAATGTTCTAGAAACTGCTGCCAGGCGCAATCTCCTGCTGATCCAATCCAAGTGGCAAGATCCACAGCAGGACAAAGGAACTTTGGAAAGGGACTTGAAAAGAGTTCAGTTACTCTGCGGTTAACCCATCAAAGGCGTCTTCCTGTAACCCAGAGGACAGCAGGCCTCGACATGTGCTGGCCATTTGGAAAACAGATTCATACAGAGCAGATCAAACATTTCAGGGGAGCCCCTTGCCTTGAAAGGATAGAGCCTTATGAAAATCATTAAGCAATTCGTTGATGTTTATTTGCTTACACTGTGCTTCAGCAAAGTAAGCAGCAGACGAGGATGAGAGCTATTGACCCAGTTTCAGAGGCTCTAGTTCAGAAAAGAAGGATTCCCTTACATGTTTGATTTTAAAGAGCCTTTTAAGAAGACATCCTACCACACGGCTGGCATAGGGAGGCTGTCTTGGCTTGCTTCAACTGTGTATTAGGTTAACAGCCACCTCAAGCTTTTTAGAAACCTAGAAATCCCAAGGCAGTTAGAGAAATTCCACAGAACTAAGAAAACCCTCTGCAATCTCACAGTGTTAAGCAGAAAAAATATTTCCAAATATCTTCCTTTCTCAGTGTGTGCCACTTTGTGTAACCTACTCCCAGCCTCATAAAACATGGTGGCTCCACAGCGTGCCCAGTCATCTGTCCTTCCTAATGAGCCAAACTCTTAATTCATGGCTCAGCTCCCATGAGCCTGGAAATGAACAAGGAGCAAGTCCCTGTTTTCACTTTGAGAGTTACCAGGTTATTGTGCATGAGTTCCTTCTAAACCAAAGCAATTCCACTGTCTGATAAAAGGAACTGTGCTTGCTTTAAAGTTTGAGGAAGCAGCCCCTCACATCCATCAGCCTCCAACCTCAACTCCCTGTTTACTCAGATGCAAAATTCCTATGATCAGATAAGGGCTCAACAGAATGTAATCATTCTTACACTTTGGGCTTTCAAATGGTGTGCTTTTTTCATCTATGCTATGGGGAATGCAAAAAGCATAGCCTCCAAGGCTCTGGGAAGTCGGGGAGGCTGCTGGCTCAAGGAAATTGGGCTCAGCTCTCCTAGAACATTACAGAGGTTGCAAATCTGTCCTCAAATATTCAACACATATGTTCTAAAATTCATTAAGTTCCAAAATTAAAAAAAAAAAAACAAATTTTAAAAATCCAGCATTGGTTCTTGTACAAAGCAGATATTCAAGGAATGCTTGTTGACTGTTGAATCTTGTTGGCTGATAAATATGAGAAATACAGTCTGGTTTTACCACATGGCAGCTCAGGTTCCTAGGAAGACATTTTTCCCTAGTTTGCCTTTAGACATGTTTTAGAAAATGAATTACCTAAAATAAACCCTGCCTGTCTTTGAAAAAGTACTTTCCTTACAAAACCTTCCCAAAACTCTCTCCTTTATTATTTCGGGGGGAACAACTGTCACTTGGCTTTAAATTGTTAATTAACCTTTTGTTACCGCTTCAACTACGTGGTCCTCAGAGGGCAGAATTCTATTTTATTATTTACTTACATTTTTTGGTAACTCCCTTGGGATCCAACATGGTTCTTGCACAAAGCAGATACTAAATAATTGTTCATTGATTGATAGATTTGTTCGCTGATAGATAATAGAAATATAGTCTCATTTGTGCCATATAGCAGCCAAGCTTGCAGTACACAAAAAGCATCATTCTCTGCTACTTTCTTATAAGCCCATGCTTAGAAGAAATGTCTTAGAAAGTCTCTTCTGTGGTCTCCAGTTAGCTTTGGACATCAGTTTTAAGAGGGAATAATATATTTTATATAAAAAAATAAGATTGCAAGTATATAAATATTATCACCACAAATATTACAACACTGCTATAGCATTTTCTGTTGCTTGCCAGAGACATTTGTTAATTCCTAATAGGCCCGTGACATCCATTTCTGTAGTAGACAGAGGCACCTTGGTTATGGCAATTCCTTTGTAGATGAATGAATTAGGCTTTTCAGACAAGACCTAACTTATGATGCTTTTGTATTGAAGGAAGGAAGGGGAGGAGGGAAGGGAGGGAGGGAGGAAGGAAAAGGATGAAAGAAAAAGAAGAAAGGGAGGGAAGAAAGGAAAGAAAGAAGGGAGGGAGGGACTCAAAGTGTGTACATACAAAATTTGACCACTTGTTAACTACTGACATGTTCACGTAACAAATATGCCAGCATAAGAAATTTAAAAGAAAAAAGCCAACCCTAGAAATATTATTTGAAGACCTTTCCCTCATAAGACTTTGTTATCATCAATGACAACTTTATCCAACTTGATCTGACTTCCAAGTGTAAGAAAAACACATTCCAGTAGTCCACCTAAATTTTAGAACTTTGAAGTAGCACTGTACTTCGCAGTGCTTCCAATGGGCATGTTTTTCAACAACAAAAAAAGCCTGGAAGATAGCCCTTTCTCGATGCTTCTACTTATCACTACTGGGAGAATAGCTTCCATCGCAGCATTTATTGACTCCTTGCAATAGACTCTACAGTCATCATCTCATTTCATCATTCCATCAAAGCAGGGGCTGTCTGCTTTATCTGCATTGGCCTGGCACATGGTAAGCTTTCAATACCTATTTGTTGAATAAACAAATGATTATAACAGCTCTACAAAATAACAGCATGATGCACATTTAATGTATGAAGAAACTGAAGTGTGAATAGACTAAATGAATTGTCTGAGATCTTGGTAGAGCCCTGACTTGCTCTGCTGCCTCTCTGACTAGCACTTGTGTTGAGCAACCATTTACCTTGGTACCACCCTCCTCATTATATCTGGAGGGCTACTATCAAGGGTAGCCCTTCTTTTCCTGTAGGTTGAAGAACCTCTTTTCATCCCTAGAGGATTAGCTAAAAAGAAAGCTAAACCATCAAGGCTTATAAAATTGTGTTTCCCTGTGGCCTTTTTTCTAAATCAGGAAATGGTTACTTAGGCCCCATAGAGCCAGCTCAGAACTCTACCTCCTCCTCCTTTATCAAGACTTCCTTGACTTGGAAAGTGGTTTCTATGACAAGAAGTGTGCCAACAGTTTTTGCAGGCTGCCAAAGCCTCCACCTCTTTCTTAAAGGAGCCAGGACTTTTTCTTCTCCAGAACTTTGACACAATTAGGCAAAATCCAACTATTTTCAATGTTATACCATGGTTTCTTCAGAATATTTTAGAAACCGTGCCATATCTTAAGTAGTATTTAACATAGTACAGGGATTCAGTAGCAATCATTCTATAAATATTACACTTAAAGATCAAAAATTTCTAAAGAGATAAATGATATTGATCAGTCAAGCAAAATTTTCACATAATTTCTTAATTAAGTAAATGTTAATTAAGGGAGGCTGAGGTGGGAGGATCACTTGGGCCTAGGAGCTTGAGGCTAGAGTAAGCAGTGATAGCACCACTGCACTCCAGCCTAGGCAACAAACAAGACCCTGTCTCAAAAAAAACCCAACAAAACAACAACAGCAAAAAACCTCTCTCTCTCTATATATATATGTGTGTGTGTGTGTGTATACACACACATACATATATATGATAAAGAGAAAAAAGAGTAATTGTCTATATGTTGGTCCATATTAGTCATTTTTACTGAATACACACAATGACAAAAATGGCATATCAATGAAAAACAATCTGGAGGGGGAAAAAAAGTAGACTTTGTAATACCAATGGAAGAATTTTTGACTCTAGGCGGAGGGGTGGATGGAGTGGGGTTGTATAAATTGACTTGACCACATTCTTAATCTTGTAGTTGAGATGATAATATTATTCAGAAAAGTGCCATTCATTCATATTGAGTGATACATTATATGTAAATTACACAACACAATGTCTGGCACATGGGCTTGGTGTTTTGTTTCAGCTGTCCATGTGAGTCGTTGATATCACCTAGGATACTCCTCAAGGAAAACTTTATAATAAAATCAGTCATACTTGTCTGCTTTGGATACTAGCATATGACCATATTTATCACTAGCAGAATTCATATTGGATCCATGTTAGGGATTTCTACGTGAAACACAATAAAACACCAATTGCCAAATATATCCACCCCTCCATGCCCGCCCTAATGAAATATCACTTATGTGCAAGACTTATCTTGAACACCACCTCCTCCATGAAGTCTTTCCTGGTCTCTCCTAAAAGCAGATATATTTTCTTGCTGTCTTGAGCATCTTAAAAGCTTTGACTTCTACCCCTCTGACAATACTCACCTGTTCTGCCTGCTTTGTTACTGTCTCTTTGCCTTATCCCCTATTAGAATTTGAGACTCTTGAAACTCGGGATGAACCTTATCTTTACATTTCCTATAGGCTGAGCACAGGGTGTTGAACCTAGGAGCTCAATAAAAATGTGTTGAGTTGCAGTGAATCATGACCCACCCTGGCTACCAGGCCCTCAGCCAGCTTTAGAGTACAGGACACAATAGGTCCTTGTATTCACTGCTGTGCGCACCCACAAACATACACTAAGCACCTGGAAACAAGGGGACACTTAGTTACTTGGCAAATACTTGCCCTCCCAGGGTGTCTTCCCTTTTGAAAAGGCTCCTTGGACAG